CCCACCTCTTCTGCGGGGCCAAAGCCGCGCTTCCGCCGCCCTGGCTGCACCTCACCTTACTGCTGGGGGTCCCTGGTGCTGGGCGCTGGCGTCCTTCCTGCCACGGCCGTGCACCGGCCAGGGTCTGTTCCTTTCGAGGGCAGAGGCGGGCGCCGAGTCCGGGGCTGCTTCTCGGATGCTCTGCGGGCTCCGGGACGTGACTCCTGGGATGGTTGGTCCAGGCCCGCACCTGGCTGACACGGCCCGGCCACCAGGTGGCGGAATAGGCCGGTTAGGTGGCCAACCCCACAGGCCCCGCCCCCGATCCAGCCCTGCCCCCGGTCAAGCCCCGCCCCGCCCCCATTCCGCCCGAGAAACCGAGCCCGGGCTGATGCTGGGTCTCGCCGCGCGGCTCCAGCTGGGGCGTGGTGGTCCCGACGGTCGTCCGAATTGCAGAGAGTCGCCGCTGGAGAGGGGCTCGGCGCCCGGCGGGGACCGCAGGTATGTGGCTGGGTGGCCGGAGCGGGTGCGGAGGACACGCGTGGGAGCTCCAGGCAGAGCTGGACCAGACTGGGGACCGTTGGGGGCAGTGGGCTTCGAGAGCGACCCTCGCAGCGGGTAGGCAGATCCTGCCGTCTTTCGACTTGATGGATGGGGCCCACCTCAGGGGCTCCGGGTAATCCCAGAGGCAGAAGGGTCGTCCTGGGGACAATCTAGGTAGCCACTCTGGGTGCCACTCTTGCAGCTGAGTGTCTGCAGCCAGCCTCCTGCCTCCGTCACAGGCTGCCTGGTGTCTGGCCAAGGACCCTACCCCACTCCTGCTGGGAGCTGTCTTGGTGAGCGTTGTCCTCAGAGACACTTTGCCATCAGGACCTTGGAGTCGTGGAAGTGCCTGCCTTGCGCCTGCCTCCTGCTAGACCGCCCAGACGGTGGCTGCTGCGCTAAAGTATTGCATGCTTTGCTCTGTCAGGATCGGTGTTTACACACTGGGTGTCCCCATGTGACTGTGACTGTGTGTGTGTGTGTGTGTGTGTGTGTGTGTGTGTGTGTGTGTGTGTGTGTGTGTCTCGTGTGCGCTTGCGTGCTGGCCCATCCCAGGCCTGGAGTAAATACACAAAAAGCTCAGGTCAGTAGGAGGAAGGAGATCGTTCAGAGGGAAAAGGAAGGCGGTGAAAGCAGCAGGATGTGGTATAAAGTGAGTTAACAAGCCTCAGATCAGAGAGAAGGGTGGGTTTAGGCGGTATGAGGGCTAAAAGTAGGCCAAGCCTGCCTCAAATGTCCCTCCTGGACTGCCATTCATGTCTTCCTTCCCACAGGCTTCTGTGTCTTCTCACTCACCCTTTCGTTTCTCTTGCCTTCAGGACCTGGGACTCTTTCGGAGTGTTGGTTAAAACACAGATTCTCCAGGTCCCAGCCCTACAACACAGCATTCCAGGGAGTGAGGTCTAGAATCCGTACTTTCAAAAATTGTAATGAGCTCCTTAAGCAATGATGCTGAAGTCATTGGTTGGGAACCATGTGTGATGTTAAACGATACCTGAATTCCAACCAGGTTCAACTGTGTGACCTTCAGCTCCTCTCCTAGTCTCAGTCTCCTTATCTATAAAATGAGCTTTCATACTGACCCACAGGGCTGTGTGGAAAAGTAAATGAGGCACAGATGATGAGGGCAGCACACATGGGAGATGCTCTGTGGAACTTTGTGGAACAAGAGCTTCTGTGCTTCTTCAACCTGGCCTCGGTGGTGTGGGTCTTCACCTAGGGGCCCATGGAAGACAAAGAAGACAGTTTTGAATGATTGAGCTTTCTCTTCCTGCTTCAGGGCACCCTCCCTTGCTTTTTGAGGGCTATGGAAGCAGGGAGGCTCGGGGGTTTTGTGTGCTGGGCCTCACTGGGGTCTTATGAACGTCCCTCCTCTTATCTCTAGCATAGGAGAGAGATGATTCGTTACCTTCCCTCCCTGAACCACAGTGGAAGCAGATCACTTCTGCCTCCCTGCTTCCCTTTCCTCCCTTCCATGTGCTGATTTTTGTTTCTTTGAGAATAACAGGGTGGAAGCTAACTGGTGGTGCTGGGTGACCAGGGTATTCAGGGTCAATGTTGGCATGAGGATGAGAAGGCAGGAGGTAGAGGCTATGGAGGATACTGGCTGTTGGGAGCTGCTCCACGTCCCAAGGCCAGTCATCAATCAGCGGCCTGCCAATTGAGAAGTGGGAAAGGTGAAGAGCCAGGAGTCTTTTCGCCTGGGCAGCCTAGAATGTGGAAGCCCCAACTTGGGTTCCGCTGAGCGCTCAGACTGTGCTAACTTGATCTTCATTTGGCGAGGTTCATCCCAAGGGGCTGAACTGGTCGGCCTTGTGGGACCCTTGTGAACCAGAAGACCTATTTGTCCTCAGCCAAAAGCCTGAATCAATTTATCATGAGAGGAAGTTTATAGAGGGGCAAGATGGAGTGATCGTCAGCAGGTCAAGGGGAGGTATTTCTTCTGATTTTTGAGGCTTTGGCATAGATGGGGTGAGTGTGGAGTAAAGGAAAGACTACATTTGACTTCTGATATAAGAAAATAATGATACACTCCCATAGAAGACATGTGATATATTTGGCTATTTCATCAATTTGAAGATGTACGTGTCATATTTTAGCAATGCTGAAATCAAGGTGCATCAACCATCTATGGCATTTTTTTTTTTTTTTGAGTCAGAGGCTTACTCTGTCGCTCAGGATGGGGTGCAGTGGCACGCTGCTCACGGCCACTGCATCCTCAACTTGCTGGGCTCAAGCAACCCTTCCGCCTCAGCCTTCCAAGTAGCTGAAACTACAGGTGTGTGCTGCCATGCCTGGCTTATTTTTTTAAATTTATTGTAGAGACAAGGTCTCACCAAGTTGCCCAGGCTGGTCTTAAACACCTGAGCCCAGGCAATCCTCTCGCCTCGGCCTCCCAAAGTGCTAGGATTACAGGTTTGAGCACCGTGCCCGGCCCATCTATGGCATCTTAGCAATTAAAATAAGCAGTAATATTTCTTCCTTGGTGGTACACAAAATGATGCTGTGTCTTTCAATTGGTGGCATCTTCAGGTTCTGGTAAATACAATGTTTGTTTTACAGATTTGGGGATGTGCTTTATATGTATACAGGTACACACAGAATTATGTCATTCTCATAACTTGCATACATTAATTTTTCCAGTAGTTCTGCCTTTTAAGCTCCTTCTAAGCACTTTTCATTGTATCCGGTTTTAAACAAAATCTTTGTAAAATGTATTGCTTGCCTACATATAGTACATTAGATATAATTTAATAATTTCCTAGAAATTTTATCCAGTGGTTCTAGACTGCCATTCTCTTTGGTACCCTGGGTCTGTCTGCTCAACACAATTGTGGTCTTTTCTCTTTCGTCCTTCTTTTTGGCCTTTACCCTTTGGCCATGATTTCCTGGTGTTGGGCTCTGTGCTGCATATGTCCAGGCCTTTAATCTTCACAGCCACACTCTGGGCTGCACTGTCTCTGGCATCTGTAGTGGCCTGTGTGTTTCTGTGGGTGTCAAGTGCATGCCCTGTAAGACACAACTTTGGGGGCATAAATTGTGGCCATCCAGGTGTTTTTGTTTGTTTTCTTGCTTGCTTCTAGGCTACCAACCAGGTTCTGGATAGTTGGGATTATCAGTTAAGTAATTTCCAGATAAATGAGTCATAGTTATAGCAAGGAACACCCAACAGGATAGTAGAGGCAGATGATTGGGAAGAAGTGAATGATGTGATGTTCCTGGTGCAGAGCAGATACTGGGTCCTTCTTGAGTCTACTGAGTCTACCAACTGGGGTACTAGAGTTTGGGGCCTCAGAATTTGATCTCCATGGGAGATTCCTGCCTCCAGTCTCTGTCTTGCTGCTGCGGTGATGTAAGAGAAAACAATGAAGTGAGTCACTTTTCAGCTGAAATCCCCACAGAGCTGCCATTCTCTCAGGAGAAGCCCCATCCATGCCCTTTGACATGGTGAATGAGGCCTCCCACCACTCAGCCTAAGCCTACCCTGCCTGATTCTTCTCCTGAAGCTCCGACAGACCTCTGTGCTTCTGTGTGTGCTGTTCTTTCTCCCTAGATTGCCTTTCCTCTCCTCTACCTGCCTGGTAAGCCAGTTCCTCCTTTGATGCCCTGATCAAGCCTGAATTCTGAATTATTCTCTAACTCCCTGCTTCACGCCCCAGCACTGATCACCTCCTTCTGTCCTCCTGCTATAACACTGACTGTCCTAGCCTACAGGGTCAGACCAGTGACTTGACACACCTAAGGCCTGCTACCGCATCCACCGATGCTCAGCATGGCATCAAGCTGCTGCTGTGAAGCTCCCCAGAATATCATAGGCAAGGAGTCCATGCATACCAACAGTGGAAGCTGTCTGAGCATAGGATGGGGTTGGGGACTGAGGGTGGGGTCAGGAGGGAGTAGCGTGCTTTCCATTTTAATATCCTCCAGAGTCTTCTTGTTGTTGTTGTTGACCTAGGCAAATGCGCTTGTGTGGTTTCCTCTTTGGGGGCAGGGCTGAAGTATGGGAGCTGGAGGTGGCCTCACCTGGAATCCACTTGGCTCCTCCACTCCTAGCCATGTGACCTTGGCTAAGTCCACATGCCTTACTGGGTGTCAGTTTCCCCATCTGTAAGAGAGAAGTATAGGTCTGGCACTCAACGCTTTCTATGGCCCCTGCCTAGCCCCTAACCTTCAACTTGTTTGCTCAATACTTTTGTGTGGAGCATGCCTTCTGTGTGCTAGGCACATGCTAGGCTTTGAGGATGCTGAAGAAGACAGACAAAGTTCCTGCCCTCGTGGAACTCATGGTCCTCGTGGAACTGGGGTACTGGATGCAAGGCTAGGACTGAAAGACAGAGAGGTTAAGGAAAGGCTTCTCTGAAGAAGTCATATTTAAGTTGGGACATGAGATATATGAAATAAAATTTAAATGATGATTAATAATAATATATATCATTCAGTGGACACTTGCCAAGGGCTCTTTGGGGGCATTCTCTTTCAAGCATTCAGAGTACTCTCAAGCATTCTTGTGGAGTACATGGGTTTCCTCTCCTGTAAGAATCAGATGACATCGCTGCTGGCAGGAACCCAGCTCCATGTCTGGTCCAGACCAGGGACTCATTTCTATGCTCTTCATCCCTCTTCATACACCAAGGTCCAGCTTGTGGACATTGATGTCACAAATACTAATAAGGGTCCCCCTTTTTCTTTCCATTGCCCATCACCAGAAAGCATGTCCCACACAGGAGTCCTCTGCATTTGTGTGTCTCCACCAACAGCCAAGGAATTCCCTGTCCACAGAAAATTCCTCCGTGTTGTTTGCTGGACGTTCATTCTGCCCTTCTGCAGAGGGTTCAGAAACCCAGATCCTGAGTTTCTGTCTCATCTGAGAAGTTGCCTTTTCAGCTCCCACATCCTGTATCCAAAGCTATCTCCATGAAGTCTGTGCAGACATGTCTCTGGGTTTTTGGTCTGAGCAC